TTCAACAAGGTACTCTGTCCCTCCTGTCTTCAACAAGGTATATTGTCCCTCCTGTATTCAACAAGGTACTCTATCCCTCCTGTCTTCAACAAGGTATATTGTCCCTCCTATATTCCACAAGGTACTCTGTCCCTCCTGTATTCAACAAGGTATTCTCTCCCTCCTGTCTTCAACAAGGTACTCTGTCCCTCCTCTCTTCAACAAGGTACTCTGTCCCTCCTGTATTCAACAAGGTATTCTCTCCCCCCTGTCTTCAACAAGGTACTCTGTTCCTCCTGTCTTCAACAAGGTACTCTGTCCCCCCGGTCTTCACCAAGGTACACTGTCCCCCCTGTCTTCAACAAGGTACTCTATCCCTCCTGTCTTCAACAAGGTACTCTATCCCTCCTGTCTTCAACAAGGTATATTGTCCCTCCTGTCTTCAACAAGGTACTCTGTCCCCCCTGTCTTCAACAAGGTACTCTGTCCCTCCTGTCTACACTAAAATCTCATGGGTTATACAACTCTCAAAATTCATGCTATTCACAGAAGTTATACAAATCTCATACTATTTTTTGAAGCACAAAAGTAGAACAACGACCGAATGCGTTGCAAGCGGTCTGTCGGGATGTACTTTAAATGGTCTAACAAACTCTTTCTTGATTTCATTACCACAGCCATACACTTTGATTAACGATTCTAAACGTGTCAGAATAATGCTTGACAACCCCTTCAGATCTATATACCATACAAGCATAAGTAGTGACTTAGATTACGATCTGATTCACAGATCGTCATCAAAACTATGTTTACATGAACGCACCAGAGAAGACATGTTTAGCATTTATAAGTATTCGAATAAAACAAACGATGCTGTTGATGAACATTGCTTGAAATTGATAAAATTTATATCACTAGAAATACAGGCTAAGTATCATATAAGACAAGCTCAACCTTTTACTTAATGTTGTCAAAATATTATGTTTGCATCGAGAGGCACTGGCTTTATTGTGTTATGCCTTGCGAATATGAAAAAGATGAAGTGTTTATATGTAGTGTAAATAGGATGCAGTTTTTCACATAATAAATATGTAGGTTAAACATGATCAATATTTTTGTAAACATATAAAAACTGTAGTGTGAATGCGATAAAGATTAACTGCAAAACAAATATTACGAATACGTTTTTTCTCGTGAAAATATTTCTGTTTGATCATAAGTCAGTTTGTGTTGGCATTCCTGTCGTGCCTTGTCCGTAAGCTTCCTGTCCTACTATTGAACGTAGTCAGCGTTTGTGAAACTGTAACTGTCTGATAAGGTTTTAAAACATAAAACTGTTTTGAATATTTTCCAGACAGGTATACGTAATTGGTTTTTATAACATGTTTGTTTGATGTTTATTGTATAAACGTAATATATAGGTGACCCGGTCGTATTTACTCACGTGACTGGCGGCGTAGACGTTTACGTTGTATTATTTCTATTTAAAAATTCAAATTCATCATTTTCTTGTTTTTCAATTAGATTTGATAAATGTATTGCAATATAACAATGACTTTGAAGTTAAACTGCAGATTTATTTTCAACGCATTTTATAGAGGATTTTTTTTTCGTTATAATTTACTATTTGAAATATATTAGGAGTTATGGTAATATTTAAGTATAAATAGAATTTCTATGAATATTTCAAATTGAAATAAAATTAAAAAGATGAATAATATAAATCTATTATTTTTGTCACGGTAATACTGAGATTTGGGTCGATCAACTTATAATTTTTAATGTAGATATTGACTGCACACATCAAGGGAAGGTAAATCCTAACACGCTTTCTTTTGAAATTACACTCATTCAGTAATACACAAAGAAATAGGATGACATTAGTCAGCATACAGTCAGTTAACTTTTTTAAGCAAATTCCAACGAAATGCTTCATATCTTATACTGTTTGATTGTTTTTAAGTCGTCTTCTATTCACAAGAATAAGAAAAGCATAATATTTGTGTCGAAAATACCCAAAATAGGCATTATAAAATAGCTATCACTACAAAGGGTTCTCTATACCGGGACATTTCTGCTCAGTCAAACTTTCGCTCTTCGCCCGTGCAATCAATTTTCGCCCAGTAATAATTTTGCTCTCACATTTGATGCTATATATGTTAGGTCGTTTATCTATATTCGCAGTAATGATAAATTCGCCCTTACACCAGAGGGCGAAAAGGCTAAAAACTGCAGCGAAACATTCCAAGTGTACAGAATTCGATCCAGTTTTTTTTTTTTTACCTTATATTCATTGAATAGCATTAATTCTTCGCCTGACTCAATTGTTATGCAGTGTTGATATATTTTTACTTAAATATTATATATTCTGCATATTGTTTCATGCAAAACATCGATTGTGACGTCAAAATGGAAATTACGATAAAAGACATGACGTAATGCCGTCACAATAGACATGACGTAATGCCGTCACAATAGACATTACGTTATGCCATCACAATAGCCATGACGTAATGACATCACAATAGACATGACGTAATGCCGTCACAATAGACATGAAGTCAAACTGGCGACTTATCATAGAAAAAATATGCTTTACGTGAATATTCGCATATATTCCTGGTCATGTGATAAAAAATATACCAAATTCTTTCCATTCCAAAGGAGATTTAAGACACAAGTCAAGCAGTGTTTGATATTAGAGAAATTTGTTTGACGAAACTTTTTTGAAATGGATATGAATTCGAGACAATATATATATAAACATGATAGATCTAGCCCTATAGATAAGACATGGTTATTTTCTAGAGAAATGTGTTGCTCGAAACTAATATGAAACGGAAACGAAATCAACACATTTTATATATAATATATTTAGCACTATATATAAAACATCGGTATTTTCTATTACAGGTAACTTCTGGGGAATCGACAAGGCGAGTGGGGACGGCTGTCTCGGGTGCGGTGACCAGGAACAATTTGTCAACTGTGCAGACATCGCTATCGGTGACGACACGTTCTACGTGAATACAAATACCAACAGCATTAAGAGCGCCACCTATGTCACACACGTCGAGAAGTCACATGATCATGGGTCTCATTATCGTGGTCTTCACCATGAAAACGTATCTCGGACGTACAAGTCCGACAAACCGGAAGAATGTAATCGATGTTACGCATTGCCAACGTGGCAACATTTCCCGGATATGGATAACTGGTGTGACTCGAACTGCAAACTGGGAAATTGTCCTCCTTGTCGCTGTTATTGTGGTTGTCCTCGGATCAAATTCGATAACCCATGTGTCGGAACAGGAGAGTATGACACATTCGATAAAATGGCAGGTTGGTGCTGGAGGGAATGTTGCGAGTCGGAATGTCCAATCGACAAGTGCGCATGCTCAGAGACTGTAAAACATCCTTCCTCTTCCGGTTATGAAGTTCAAAAACAGTTTTTCGAGCTTCCATTAGTTAACTTAGTCCCCGGATCACAAGTATCACATCACCATGGCGACTCACATGAGAATACGAGCAGCGACGACAACGATGACAGTAACAACGAAAGTAAGAAGGCAACACCAAGTAGTGAAAGTGACGATAACGATGATGATAGTAGCGCTAGTGAAGATCAGGATCATGCGATGAGCTCTTTATATGGTGTGAATAGTAAACCTCCGGGGGAGGCCCTAACCAATGCAAACATTCTCGCGGACCTAACCCAGTTGCACCGGATCAGTCTCCCAGGGGTGCTTCATCCCAAAAAGCACAAAGTGTCATCAAATTCAAAGGAAAGGCATTCCTCTAAAGACAATCATCTACGCGAACTTAATCAGGGACCAGATTCAGGAGGGCAATATTCTTCTGGAAGGGGAAGTAACTCTGATGCATCTCGACTAAATCCATTTGTACTGAGCGAGGTTCGGGTGATGAAGGTGAACAAATCACAATCAAAAAGAAAAAATCATGTAACGGATTCCATCCGACCGAAAGGAAACTTTCTATCTCAGTTCAGTCTGAGAGAAGTGCACAGGACCAAGGTCAATACAACCTCACGTGGTGCGGAGACGTCGACTCATCACTTAAGTATAAGTTTGCCTCAGTTGGTATCATTTATATTCGGAGACAGGACCCACAAAAACAAATCTGATCATGCGGGATATTCGACCAAGCTTGCATCAACCAAGTCACCGCCGAATTCAGCGTCTGTAATGTCTAAATCAACATCACTCTCAATTTCCCCGTTTACGAAAACAACACCCAGCGAGCGGATCGCGGTAACTAAATCAAAATCAAGTCCATTCTCCTCTGCAACTAAGCCATCAACAAGTCCATATTTCTCTGCAACCAAGTTAGTATCAAACCTACTTTCTACTATAGGCAAGTCAGCATCAAGTCAAATTCCCTCGGTTACCAAGCCAGCATCAAACCCGCATCCTCTGCTAACCGAATCAGCGTCCCTCAAGGGGGTTAGGGCTAATGATAGGCCTTTAATGGGTGGATCATTAACAGCCCAAAGACGCACAGCCTATGCGGGCAACGAGCAAGTTCAATCGACTTATGTGTCCAGTGCCACGGCTAAACTTGAGAGTCGTCTGACTTCGAAGGACCCGCTACAGAAAGATAAGGTCGACTTTATACAAAGGATGGCTGTCGATCCTCGACTTCTGTCATCCGTTCTAGATCTTGATCAGTTTTCAACTGACACAGAAGAGAAACATCATGTCAAAACAACATCCACTGCTGATAATTCTACTAAGATGCTGCCGAAAATCAAAGCTGAATCTACATTTACGGTAAATCACTCTAAAACTACAGCGCAGCCGGAAGATATTAATAGCACAGACAATACATCTACGTCAAACACGTCTAATCATACACCACCTACTTCCGATATTACATCAAAGGTAGATAACTCTATTAATACAATGCTGCCGGAAGTCAATGATCATACTAGTGCTGGCAGTACATCAGGGAATAAGGAGCAAGATCACTTCACTACCGAGATCTTCCGAAAAGACAAGCATAAGATTACTCTCTCATCTGAGAATTTCTCGTCAGTCACCCAAACACCACAGATCAAAATGGTGTCTGATAGTGACAAACTCTTTCGGAAGGTTTCTAGAAATATCCACGAACAAAAGATGGTCGTTGACAATATACTTAAAAAGGAAACAGAAGTTAACGGCAATCGTCCACAGGCAAATGGTGTTACTTACCACAAACTTAACTTCGCTGAACCAGAAAAAATAAACGAGGCAGCTTCCGGTGACGCACCGTATGTTGTAGACGCCAGACTTCTGAACAAAATGTTAGAAACTGTTCAATCCTGGATCAATCACCCCATGTATGTTGTTCATTGATGACGTCATCATTGTTAGTTACGAAAAATATTGTAATGATGTCTCTTGTTACATATTGTTGTTTATCATGCGTGTCCCTTTGAAGATCGAGTGTTCTATATGTGTTTCGTGAGGGAGTCCTGGATTCATCGCCTCCAACAACCCTAGTTTAATTAAAACATTATCGCTAGAGTTGGAACCACCTGGTTCACCACTAAAGTAACCAAGTTGGATGAACAGATATTTTGCAATGGTTAGGAGCTCTTGGTTTACCCCTCTATCAACCATGCTCAGTACTTATGAAATATTGTTGCATGTTTATCCACCTTCGTAAATAATTTTAAATTATTATTCTACATGCATAAAGTACATTGACGAGTGTTGGACTGGAACACACACTGGTCGGGACGACTGCTTTTGTCGACCGGAAGTGTAAGTCGGGAAATATGGAAAGCAGAATTCCGTACGATACCTGTGGTATACATACAGAGGTCACATGCTTATTATGTATCTGGTTTGTATACGTGTCAGTTTGAGACATGAACAATGGAACCTTGATCATAAGTGCGTTAATTGTATAACATGTATTACCAGAACAGTTCTGAAAGCACGGTGGATCGGACGATTGAAGCGATTTTATAAGAAGTGCAATTTTCATAAAGTGAATTTTGTCGGATTATACAATTGCGGTGTTGATATTTGCATACTATAGTTTTCTGTGGTCGCTTTCATGTTTTGTTTGAGTACAAAATGACACAAATCAATCAACACCATTTTCTACCATACAGCGATCACCAAATTCCTGAAATATGAACTTGGTCTAGATAAATAAATTATTACTAAATGACAGGCGTGTATGAGTCTTTGTGTGAAACTATATTTATATTATATCCTTGATCTATTGTCTCTTTGATTGATAAAATGATGTATTGTTTAAGTAAACGCCCCAACAACAATAATCGGTCATTCAGTGTCGAACCGTGATATTTCAGGTAAGCTATTGTTATCATTCCGAATCTGTCTAAAAATGAAATACGCTGCAGAGCAAAATAGATTAACACAGAAAGGAGGAAACAGAAAGGCGTTACTTTAAATAGATAGTGATGACCATTCCGTGCCTGATACGCTTTCTACGTTCCAGAGAATATTCCTATTCTGGGCATCAAACCAAACGTCATACATTATAAGTGAAGTAGAGACAAGGCCACCAATACACGAGGATACACACGCTACCAAACGACAATAACAGATAGTAGTAAGACTTCAAAACTACAAAAAAAACAACAGAACATGATTCTAAAAAAAGAATAGATAAATAAATGATTTATATCAAAAGTATTCCATTTTAACTTTCTATAGCGGTTTGGTATCAATCTTAAAATGATGCTTTGGTGATCACTAATTATATAAATTGATGCTCGCCAGTGTTCCACATTCCATATCTCATTTTACTACCGTCGTCGAGATAAGCATGGAAAAAAACAAATGAGTCAGTTAAAATTACATTTTAATAATTTGGATTAAGTCAAGAAAGATAAATTACACGGATAATCACAACTAAACCACCTCTATTTTAGTAAATACGTTTGAAATTACATAAAATCATAATTATATTGTATAGCGCCCTTTGTTTTCTCAGAATGACACACATACAGTAAAACATAGTGACGTGCCGTAGGTCTTTCACGATACGTTATTTTTAGAATTTGGCTCTATACCCCTTTGTTTGTTTTCAATGAGTTGTCCTGACATCGATTTTCGTCATATTTTGGTAAAACTTTGCAAACAGGCAGAGAAATTATTCAGTCCGTTTATTTGTTATTCAGATATCAAATTTTGATCTCCGCCTAACAGTTATTTTGACGTCCTCCCCATAGACTCAATGTTAAATTTTACCGTAAAAGTGTTTGGTCAATTAAGTTACCATGGTTAAATTCAGATACTAATATCAATATTACCGACAGAAGTGTTTGATAATTTTTTAATTGTGTGCCTAATTTCATCAAATATTGAACAAATAGTAAATTAACATAGAACCCAATGGGGGAAATTACGTAACGTGAGGACTTATTTCAGTAGGATATACGGTTTGGAAAAATGGGTTAAATTTTTATTCCTTAACTGTCGGGTTAAATTTTTATTCCTTAACTGTCTGGTTAAATTTTTATTCCTTAACTGTCTGGATAGAGAATTCTGGACAGTGGTGACCGCATAGAATGCTTCATTATCAATCTTATTGTGATATACGGTAATGCGCTTTGTTAAACAAAGTTAATTATGGCCATCACTCACTACAGATAAAAGATACCACACGTGGCAACATTGTGTGTTTTATGGCTGACGAAGTTATAACAAATTACCGTCGTTTTAGCTTGAACAGACAAAGAATTGTTTTATTATTTCAGAATGGTCGTCATGGACATCTACAAAAATAATTGACCAATTGATCATTTAAAGAAACATCACTCAAATTCTACATCTCTTGTTAAGAAACACCACTGACACGTTCATAAAACACCTCTCCTACACCGAGCAATACCCCCAAACAATATTTCCACTGCCGACAGTCTGAAACGTTAGATGATCGTTTACAGAAATCTTACACCTCTTGTTAAGAACCACTGACACGTTCCTAAAACGTCTTTCCTACACCGAGCAATTCCTCCAAACAATGTTCTGCTGCCGACAGTCTGATATATTCACGAAGGAGATGATCGTTTACAGACAGCAAATAGCCATGTCTGGTGTAAACGAACAAATATGACAGCCATCGAGATTTATTTCACTACCGGATGCATGTGTCTAGGAAAACTTACCCAGCCATCTATCAAACTTATATAATAAGACTCTCCATTAAACAACTGACATGCTAGCAAGTTAAATAAACCAACCAACAAAAAACAAATACAAGTAAACAATACTTAAAACAATCATAACAAAGCTAACAAATAAATTGATACCAACTTGTCGTCATATTTATGACGTCGATAATGAACACTAGAACAGGAGTAACAGTTATCAAATTAACGTTTTTTAACACGATAATGTTCAAGCTTATTTTCAAATATTTACCATCGTATGGCATTGCCACTATTCCGTCTTTGCGTATTGCAGAGTTATCTTCTCTTGTGAGCAGGTATTGATTGTTCTGTCATTGGTTTGTGTGAGAAAATTACGTCGTTTTCTCAAAAATTGATGACGTTACTCTCACAAACAAATGACGTAACAATCAATACCTGCTCACAATAGAAGATAACTCTTTCATACGCAAAGACGGAACATAACCCTACCAAATTCAGTTGGCATTTATCTAGGCTATGCATGTCATGAACCGATTGTTGACGTCATCATTATCATGACGTCATAATTGTTACGTTGGATATCAATGACCCTTCCTGGGCGATGACCATGGCTGTTCTATTCATTGAAAAATATACACGATATATACATTATTTGAACTTAATGCTGAACAACAGTAAGTGTAATTCAATTTCCTATGAGATGAACAGATTCCAAAACAGTAAATATCAGTATTGAACTCCTTTCAGTTTGTATTCATAGGCAATTTGAATTCATTTTCCCTATGAATGCCAACTGAAAGCAGTTCAATGCTTAAATGAACGTTATTATTATTCTGTGTTTAATTGTTTACATATCTCTTGTTATACCGTGCATGTCACATTTACATTACAAGGGAGTCATTCGGCAGTAGCTTATCAGACACCAGATAAGGCGACCTTTCCGAAGGAACGAGCGTGACGTCATCCGTCCTCTAACAGTGAGGAATTATGGCAGGGGAAGGCAAAAAACCAGGTATGACCCAGGATGAGGCTTCCGCGGGGGTATCGGGCCCAGTACGAGGTAACCATGGAGTCTGGCTCTTCTCCATCATCGCAGTGATCGTGTTAGGTTTCTCAGTTTCCGGAGTGTTGTTATATATACAATTTAATGAAATAAGAACTCTGAAAAGTCGCGTGCTGACCCTAGAACTGTCATCATGGGCTAGGCAGGACGTCGGAGACCAGGTTAGTTTGTTAGTCTAGGTATTTTGTTTCTAATTCTGTACAGTCTGTGGCTCGACCCAACAGGAGACACACACTGTATCGAAATCAATTGCTATATATATTATTTCCCGATGTTCAAAATAACGAAATGTCAAAAATCGTTACTGTTGAAACTAATTAAGGATTGAATCAAACTTATTACAACCTCGGGTGTGTAAGGAACATTGTAAGTGTGATTCTGCATACTGGGACACGTTCGTAATGTCTGATATTCGCCCTTCACTGGTTAAATCTGTATTCGTCCAGTTAAAATTTCGCCTTAACATGTAATTACTATATATGGTAAACTGTATACTTTTATTCGCTGTCATAATATTTGCCCTCACTGCGGAGGGCGAAAAAGGCGAAAATTAAACTGCAGCGAAAAGTTCCTGGTATACAGTATATAAGGAATTCATTCATCAGATACTTCGTTTGATAATAGTTCCCAGATCAGTCAAAAATATACATAAAGGAATTATCATTCCCAGCCCAATTACAATGTAATATTATTTTATAATATCACAATAACAATTTTCCCTGTGAGAAATGACGTAGTAATCATTCATCGTGCCGTCATATTTTACTGGCTGTGGTATTAATATCACTGAACGATTGATCCGGAACATATCTTGTCTTTCCTTTTTTAATGAAGGCCGAGGAATCGCGAATGGTACGCTTTTAGTGTTGATTGTGATAACATTTTTTATAGATATTAGGCTATCGTACCTGTATGACATGTAAACACACCTGCTGTATAGGTTAAGGGTCATGATCATGTGTCCGGACATCTGACCTACATACAGACACGCCCCCATGTATCGTGACGGCCAACTGACCTATACATACTACATACTTGCATGGCATTAGCAGAGCACCACTGTACTGAAGTAAGGTCATTACGTAATACAAAAAGTTCTAAGTATTATACATTAACATACATTAATTACTTTACATCGCTGTTTTACAATGTATTGTGTCATGTACAATGTATGTAATCGCTTTGTCTTTTTGATTCTTCTTCGGTAATATAAAAAATAAAATAAAATAAAATATGCTTTATACCGTATTTTATAAATTAAACGGTGTGGATTTATTTCAAATGATTAACATTTCCGTGTATTCTATGTAATTTTTTTCCAAACCCTCAAATTAGAAAAGTAGAATTTTTAATACCATTAATGAAGTAACTTACAAAATGTCAATCAATCAATCAATTAATCAATCAAACAATTAATCCAGCCCTACCACTGAACATTGCGTCCATTAATGTTATATAGGCCTTAAATGCCGATAAACGTTTTGACATAAACGAATACAGGTGTGAACACAATCTAACTTTAACCTAAATGTCCCAGAATAAGTTCAACAGGAAACGAGGATTGACCTCTGGGCATTGTGATACGTGAGGTAGTGTATACGATGTACCACGTCACACAGGACGCTTCAGACCAGAACCGATATGTCGTATAGGTAATGAAACTGTATTCCTGATAAACTGATATAATTTATAATAGGATTGCAGTAAAATACTGAAAAAATGTTTGAGCTGCGCTAACTTCCGTTATTCGATTTGTCTGTAAACCTGCTCAGAATGATATCGCTATAAATGTGTGAACAGTTAACAGTTTACCATTGAACAGCTACACCAATAAAACATTGTCTCTTTAAAACATTCAGACAGAAATGTAGGTCATAGCAAACACTGGGACTAATGTTTCTTGTGTCGAAGCGTCCATTTAGAAAAAAAACCCAACAATAACATTAAAGAAATAACGCTAATATTATGAGTGCTTTGCTACTTATATAATACTACTAATAAGTCGAGGTTCTTATTTACCGCTTTATCACAACCAAGTTCGTAGGTCGCTCAAAGCGGTTCACAAATTATTATCCTTGGCCATAGGGCCTTTGCACCATTCAACAATATTCTAGCACTGCCCAACTACGTACTCATTTATAGCTGAGTAGACAGGAACAAGCGGGGTAAAGTATCTTGCTCAAGGATACAACACAGTGCCGTGATGTGACTCGAACCCACAAACCTTCGGTCACGAGCCCGGGGTCTTTTGGTGGCTTTTGAAAAATGAAGTCACCTATAATTTAAAAAAAACCGGAATATTTTCATTGCATTCTTACTACTAATATAGACCCTTCTTAACGTGTCAGTGATGTGCACATTAATCCCACAGGTCAGAGGTCAACATCACACGTCAGTAGTCCATATTAGTTTACACGTCAGAGGTCAACATCATTAAATAGGTCGAAGGTAATATCAGTTGAATCGTTATTGATCGAATAGAATGTCGAGGTCAGGTGCCATATTCTTGGTTGAATTTAACCACTAAATTCATTTCGCTAAAATCTGCACATGTAGTTTTTCCTAATATTGTATGCTGAAGTAGATTAATTGAAAGTTGTTTGTGTTACGTAACACATAAAGGATGGTGTAGGATTGTTTTAAATGTCCTGTTACAGGAAGGAACGGTGAGTTTGCTGACCAGTCCAGACTTCTTAGAGTCGCTAGCAGCACACCTACCAAAGAGGAGCCGCCGTCAGACCGCCCCCGACTATACTGCGTTGCTACAGCAGTTTGCAGCGAGTGAGGTAAACCCAATACTCGCCATTAATGTCGCGATATCACCAACATTATACACAGGACTTTCAATGTCTATTTCAAGATATTTTTTTGTCACATAAACAAGTGGTTGTGAGTGGAATGATAACATATTTCTCTGACTATTGTCAAGTTTTCAACGATGCCGTCCTGACGTCTATGGCGTCACATTAAGGTCAATATACATTGAACGCTTGAAAGTCCACCTCAAATAGTAAGGTGAATAGCTTTGAAACAATCGCTGACATGACTTAGATTATTGAACAGTGAAACAATTAGAAATATACTTTAATTAATGACCGAAGTCTTATTTTTGTTAAGAATTTACGCTAACGCAGTGGACTTTTTTCTATTGTATTTCCGTTTAGGACATATACGACTTACATTGTAATAAAACACCAACATTTACAACGAAGCTCTAGCGCGTTTGATTTACTATATATTTATCTGTGACAATGCACCAGAGGTAATATGCAGATAGTTGGAAGAAGAATGACAATCAGAAACAGACTTCTATGTCTCGTTAATAACACGTATGTAGGAGATACGACACGTTTAGCCTGATGTCCTATTCCTTTTGTTTAATAAATAAAATTGAAGGAAATCAAGACGACAGTTAAGGATATATGATATCTGACACTAGCATTTCTATCGCTTCAGGTAGCTCTCCATTAAAAACAGTTAAATACATTTCGTGAATGGTAATTAAACTAATTAGTTAATGAAACGGTTATATTTATATTTTTAAGTAATTAATATATGATAAAACATTTTAACCACGACTGTTATTCAAAAAATGTATTATGTTTTTCAGCTTCAAGTTTTGCGGACGTACTGTACAAACAGTACAAAGATATGTGTGCGAGGTAAACATTTTAATGATTATGATCAGAAACAAAGAAACCATTTCCAGTTTGTCCGATATAACTTTGTCATTATTTAAGGAAAAACATGTTTTTTTTTATGTAATGGAAATATAACACAAAAAAACGGAGTGTACTCTAATAAACCGCGAAGCGGTTTATGATGAGAATACACTCTGTTTTTTTGTGTTATAGCTCAATAACATTTAAAATATATTCAAGGTAATCCTTAAAACTTAATCTACTATACACAATCCCAGTGGAAATCCACTTTTATTGATGGACTCTTTTCTCTTAGAAATTGTTACGCCGCTGTATCAGCCAATCAAAAGCGACGTCACAAACGGAGACGTCATTTTTTATGTTATGGGCTGATAACATATTTTTTTAAGCCAATCAAAATGCTTGTAACCAGCAGGATTAAATTATAAAGAAATGAACAAAAATTTGAAACGGGACTTACAAACGTTTATTATTAGTGGTAGAGTGGCGCAGTGGATAGCGTACTCGTCTATCAAAGGCGGCCGGGGTTCGACTCCGATCGGACGTGAAAGGTATTGGGTCATCTCCCCGCCCACGTGGGTTTTCTCCGACCACGTACTTCGGGTTTCCTCCCGCATTGAAACCCACTTCGTGCTTCAATCGGAGTCAATAAGAGGCATAGAAATGTCTTTCAAAATACGGAAATAGTTTAGATGTACGCTATGTAGAAATGTTGTTACATTAAGTTTTGTATTTGCTAATGTTTTGCTTTGACAAAATATCGGGTAAGAGGCGGGAAATAAGCCTAGATTATCAAAAAGGTATGTTGGGTACGTGGGGTATGGGACGCCTACCCGAAGTCTCGATTCTGACCAAACGGTAGAATATCTATACCCCACATACCAACTTATATTATGACAGACTCCATTAGGGCTATGTATTGACTGTGCATGTCTAAGCAAGGTAAATTCTTGGACCCCTTCAGTAGAAAGTAGACCCGCTCTACAACATAATAAGTCTCCGGACACTTGCTACATAGCTTACTGTTCGTCAGGGTAGTGTATCTAGAACGCAAAGAAAGTGTAATATAAACACCGTACCGTTTGTAATATATACACCGTACCGTTTGTAATATATACCCCGTACCATTTGTAATATAAACACCGTACCATTTGTAATATAAACACCGTACCGTTTGTAATATATACACCGTACCGTTTGTAATATACACCGTACCGTTTGTAATATAAACACCGTACCGTTTGTAATATATACCCCGTACCGTTTGTAATATAAACACCGTACCGTTTGTAATATATACACCGTACTGTTTGTAATCTACACCGTACCGTTTGTAATATAAACACCGTACCGTTTGTAATATAGACACCGTACCGTTTGTAATATATACACCGTACCGTTTGTGATATATACACCGTACCGTTTGTAATAAACACCGTACCGTTTGTAATATATACACCGTACTCTTTGTAATATACACCGTACCGTTTGTAATATAGACACCGTACCGTTTGTAATATAGACACCGTACCGTTTGGGTTATTTAGCAAGTTTTCAACGCAAAGATAACTATCAAAAAAACTGAAAAATAGTTCAAACGAGAAATTATTTTCAAGAATAGCAACTTCATAAAATATTTGATTGTTTCGAAACCTTTAGTTATGTTTATTGCAAACAATTGTTTGACTTAATGCAAAAAACTTGTTTCCATTTTAGGTCAGCCAGGACAGAAAGGTAAGTCGATAGTCTACGGGTACTTCACTTCCTGATTGTGTATTTATTTCTAGGCTAAATCCGTCAAGCATTGTATATTTATGTTCAGAGCAGAAAGTCGTTTTTGTTGAGGACACACGACCGTAAATCTAATATTATACCTATTACCGAAATATTGTTTAGATTTTGAAAACGAAATGTGTTTTTCTTCTTTCTTTTCCCCCTTTTAACATGTAGTTGGGTACATTTAGAACAGGTAGGACCTTTTCTCAATCAACCCTCCACCAAATTCTTTTCAAAATCAGACCTACACGCCGTTTTCTATTTTTAAACCTGAACGTGTTTTATTTTCTGTAGGGAACCGAGGCACAGACGGGTTCCCCGGGACCAAAGGAGAAAAAGGACATTACGGTATTTCCGGTCCCACGGGACCTCGGGGATATGATGGTACACCAGGACCGCGGGGACCAAAGGGCGAACCGGGAACCATGTTGCAGGGTATGACGGGACCCAAAGGAGACAAGGGTAAAAACACAATATAACTCGTATAGATTGTTACTTACTTATAATAATTATTATTATTTTGATTGACGATCGATCACTATCCGATAAAACTGCATATGGCTAATAAGCATAATTTTCTGTGTTATAAAATAGCAAATACCACTACCGCTTTTTAGGGTTTGTAAACTTGATCGTCATATTTGATGAACGTTTTTTTGTGTGCATACAAATGACGTATATTAAAAGGTATAATATCGTATTTGATGCTTTATGATGTTTCACATGGTCGGGCCATAGCTGTTGGCGTTGATGATTGCAATGATCACAATCATGAATTCACGATGTGAACAATTGATAGAGCTATCGCTTGAGTGTTGTGATTGGGCTTTAGTCGGCTAACAACTGTTCTACAAAACAAATCGACATCAATAACGGTGACGTAGTACACAAATAGTGGATTGCAGTCAATTGCAGTCCGGAAAAGGGCCGAAAAGTACATGTTGGAAGGTTTAGCTAAGTTTCTATGTTTCCTTATGTTACAATATATGTTAATCAAACTCTGTTTTCATGCAGGAGACCGAGGAGAAATAGGCCCTCAGGGAGCCATGGGAACCGCCTCCGTGACGTCACCGGTGAACCCAAATAAGTGCTGCGACAATCTATGTAATGTCTGTTTGCTGTCCGTACTGATTTCATGCTCATCAAATTATCATCTCATTTTCTTTTGCCGGTGTTTGAGATTTGAGAGCAAAGTGTTTTCCTGATGTTCACAGTCTTTAAGTGATTTCACAACACCTGCCATGTAAACACAAACAAATTCAATGTTTTATGTTTTTATGAAAAGTAAATATAAGTGTGCGATTACAAAAAAGAAATATTTACAAAAATGAACATCTAAGTTATATCTTAGCAGCGGTTGAGAAGTTTGCATATTTAATTCAGTTTAATTTCTTTGTGTTTTGTAAGTTTTGGAGGACTCGGTGTTAAAAGTAAAATAGTTTAAGACTTTCAGTTGTATATTTCCAATTATGCCTTTTGTCAAGAACGAAAAATTCAATTAAGTAGGAAAATCCGTTGAATAAAATATTATTGCAAATATGTATTTTTTTCTGCAGTTCTATGTCAAAATGCGATTTTACATGATTACACATACTTATGAAGCAGATATATACAAGTTTACTTTAATGAGTTTGGTATGATCGACATTTAAAAGAAAGATCACACGATTTTAAAATATAAACTGATATGCTAGGACTGATAACTCTAAGGGAATTAAGACGCATTAGAGAATAATTATAATACAGGGAGATAACTCTCACATAAATCAGATGCATTTGGTAGCATACACCCTTAACAAAATACTGTTTTTATTAGTTCGTCATTTTGAAAACAGAATTTCATTTTTTTTTCCAGCGGCCCCTCAGTTTTTGCGTCCCCAGACGGCCGTAGTTACCGCCCCTTACGGCTCCTCAGTTATTCTGCCGTGTAGCGCCGTGGGATTGCCACATGCAGATATCTCGTGGGTCCCCCCGGTAGATCCTTTGTCACTCGGGAGGTATATCCAGGAGTACAACGGTATGGAGCTCCAGAACGTCAAGTATACCGACTCTATGACGTTTAAGTGTCGAGCTCACAACATTTTCGGAACCGTGGAGAAATACATCAAACTCATCGTTACAGGTAACATTTCTTTTCAATTGCTGGTAACATCAGTATGATTGAGGAAGGTTTGATATGCACACAGCTTGTAGAAAAACTAAATGATAATGAGTTTATTAATACTATTGCTGAATAGGATATTATTTGCCTGTATGAATGTTGGGTGAATGAAAATGACGATGTTACTTTACCTGGTTATGATGTTAAATCTGTTCCTAGAAATGACGGAAGGGGTGGAGGAATTGTTATTTATTGTAAAGAAACCATTAAGCAAATAGTTTCCATCGAAAAAGTTGTATTTGATCATTCTGTTATTATCAAATTAGATTCAAAGTATATGAAAGATAACAAAAATTGTTTTATTATAGCTAATTATGTGCCTCCGGCCAATAGCGTATACTATGATAATAATGACGTTGATATTTTTGAAGTCATAGAAGAAAATGTATCTGTGTATAATGAATACGGAAATGTGATTGTTATTGGTTATCTAAATAGTAGAACCGGAACAAGTAGCGATTTTATAGAAAATGACAATATTGGAAGTTTACCTTTCCATGTTTTATCGAATGTTTTTAATTACTTACCTGATATTAACGTTACTGAAAGAAAAAGTACAGATAAATTTGTAAACACAATGGGAAGAAAACTTTTGAATTTATGTTAAGCGAGTGGTTTTAGAATCGTAAATGGGCGACATCCGGGCGACGATAAAGGCAGTATTACATTCTATAATAGTTTGGGAACAAGTTTAATCGATTACGTTCTTGTTGATGAGTCAAATTTCGAAATTATAGGAAATTTTAAAAGCGGAGAGTTCAATAATTTTTCAGACCATTCGCCTATTGTGTTTACGGTAGAAATTAAGATTATAGAAGAAAATATACATGGTGATAATGAGCTGTTTTATTCTACGCGATGGAATCAGGAACATTTTGAGTTAATTAAAACAATGGTCAGTGATAATGCCGATAGTCTAATGCATACATGTATAAATATGGATATGTCTTTGGATAGTGTTAATAAAAGTGTCGCAGATTTTTCTGAATTACTTAGAACCATTGTTGAACCTTATTGCGTTCAAATTCCATCTTGTAATATATCTAAAAACTATAATAAGGGAGATAAACCTTGGTTTTCAGAAACTTGTAAAGTAAAATTCAAAGAATACAAAACTGCTCTCTCAGTCTTTAATAAGAACAAAATACGTGACAATCATACAAGTTTGATCGATAAGAAAAAGGTATACAAGAAGCTAGAATTAAGACTGAAAAGAGAATACAAGACCCAGAAGGGTAACATGATGAATTACTTGAGAAAATATAACCCGAAAACATTTTACAAAAGTTTTAAAAGAAAGACAAAAGCGAGAAAATGTGATTTGAAAAGAGAAGATTTTTTTGAACATTTTAAAAAATTGGCGTCTACTGTTCCTGATCGTAATGAGGATGTTGATGCATATATGAATGCTTATGATGATTCTGGTAATTATATGAACCCTTATTCTGAATTAGATGTAGAGATCACTGAGAGAGAGGTTTTACATGCAATATCTAATTTAAAACAAAATAAGGCTTGTGGTCTTGATGGTTTGTTAAATGAAGTGTTTGTTACTTGTAAAGATGCATTGGCACCATGTCTAAAATTGCTTTTTAATGGAATATTTAGTTCTGGATTTTTTCCAGATAATTGGAATATTGGAACAATTATACCACTATTTAAGAAAGGGGATGTGAATGTAACTGATAATTATAGAGGTATTACATTAGTAAGTTGTCTTGGAAAAAAATTCACTGCCATTTTAAATGAAAGATTAGTTAATGTTGATAAAATACATAATATTATCACAGATGTACAATTTGGATTTAGAAAAAAACTTTCCACGATAGATGCTATTTTCGTACTACAATCATTAATTAATAGAACTCTCAAAAAACGAAACAGACTTTACTGCTGTTTTATAGATTATAAAAAAGCTTTTGATTTTGTTAAAATCTTTGGTATAAAATGATTAAGGAAGGTATAGAAGGGAAATTCCTGAAAATAATAAGAAGTCTCTATGCCAATGTAAAATGTTGTGTTAAATTCAAAGGTGTTACTGAATTTTTCAAATGTGATTGTGGTTTATTCCAAGGGGAAATATTATCTCCCTTGTTGTTTACATTGTTTGTTAATGATTTAGAAATGGATTTTATAAAAAAATAATTGCTTATCACTAGAAATTCAAACCATTAATTTATTTTTACTTATGTATGCAGACGATATGGTCATACTATCGGAAACACCAGAAGACTTGCAGAAAATGTTAGATTCACTAGCAGATTACTGTAGAAAATGGAGCTTAACTTTAAATGTAGATAAAACAAAAATAGTTATCTTTAGAAATGGAGGTTTAATAAGAGCAAAAGAAAAATGGTTTTATAATAATGATGCGATTGAAGTAGTTGATGAGTTTAATTATCTTGGTCTCACTTTAAATTATAATGGAAAATTTACAAAAACAAAAAAAAACCTTGCAGAACAAGGTCGAAAAGCACTATTTGCCATAAATAATGTATGTAAAAAGAATTATTTTAATATAGAATCTCGTCTTGCTGTTTTTGACACGTTTGTCAATAGTATTTTAATGTACGGTTCAGAAATTTGGGGATTTCATAAAGCACCCGAAATAGAAAAATTGCATATTGGATTTTTGAAATCATTATTAGGATTAAGAAAATCTACAAACACTGCATTTCTTTATATTGAATTTGGAAGATCTCATTTAGAGCTGTTAAGAAAAGTTAAAATTTTTAAGTATTGGATTAAATTACAACGTTCTGATAACTGTGTGCTGAAAGCTTGTTATGATGATATGGTTGAAAATAAAGACCCCTGGATCCTTAACTTAAAACATGATCTTTCAAGAGTCGGCCTTGGATACATGTTTGTGACTGATAGTATTTATCATTCTAGTGAAGTATATAAGCAGCGATTATGTGATAGTTTTCAGCAAGATTGTCTAGAGAAAGTTCATTCTTCTTCTAAAGGAGTATTATATCAGCATTTAGTGGAAAGTATTAAATTGCAACCATATCTTCATAAGGCAATTAATTTTAATTATTTAAAACATATTTCTAAGATACGTTTATGTGCGCATGACCTGTCTATTGAACGTGGCCGTTACAGAGATATACCTAGAGAAGAAAGAAAATGCATTTTATGTAATGAAAATGATATAGAAGATGAATTTCATTTTATAATTAAATGTAATCGCTATTCAGACCTCCGGTCTAAATACATAAAGAAATATTATTTCAAAAGGCCTAGTATGTATACATTTGTTCAATTACTCAAAATCGAAAACACAAAAGAACTTAATAATTTAGGAAAGTATTTATCACTAGCGTTTAAACGTAGAGCAGATTTATTAAGAGGTCATCAATAGAACAGGTCATGTTAAGATACATGTTGTACATCAGTTTATTGTATACAAATTATGTAATACACTATTATATTGATAAGTCTTGTATGGGTGAATGATGGTGAAGAATGGTTCTGGCGTGTGTATGATGAATGACGTATGATTGCTGCTGCTGTTGCTGATATGGTGATGATGATGATGATGATGATGATGTAATGATGTGATGATGATGATGATGATGATGATGATGTGATGATGATGATGATGATGATGATGATGATGATGATGATGTAATGATGTGATGATGATGATGATGATGATGATGATGATGTAATGATGTGATGATGATGATGATGATGATGATGAAGATGATGAAAATGATGTGTGCGAGTCAGTGTGAGTGTTCTTGATGAGGAGGATGATGTGTGCGAGTCAGTGTGAGTGTGTCCTTGTGAGTGTCTTTGTCTTATCTGTAATTGCCATAAGTTGTAAAACTTCAGCAAATAAAGAACTATGTTAACTATGTGAACAGCTGCTCATTTGCTTACATGGCAGATACGCGCTGATTAAAAATCAGATCCCTCTCTGAAATGTCATTTGAATGGCATTCTCATTAGATAACCTACTTGAAATATGTATCGTTGATGGGATTTTAAATGACATGCATCACGAGACAAGTCTTAGCCATTGAGCACGCGACAATACGCTGTTGCAGTTATTTAACAAATCTGTGCAGACTGTCGATAAGGCGGGAACTTTAAACTTTGAATATTATTTGTAACTTAAAACACGTGAAAAACGTAAGTACAAGCATTGGACTATTTTCAAATTTAAAAACGATGTTACGTTATTGTTTGTAAATCTATATTTGACTACTCGACATTTATGACCAACTTGCAGACAAAGTGACAGCCTCGGTCTCACCGTCTCAGTCGTCAGTTGTGGGCGGGCCAAATACAAACGTAGATATCGTCTGCTCCTGGACCGGAACGCCGCCTCCGAACATTACGTGGACTCACGTGCTACCTGGCGGAAAATCTATTCCGTTGACGGCGGGGACGGCATTGTCTACCATAACAAATACTAGTACACTGCACGTGACGGGAGCTGGAGCGTTAGACGCCGGGATGTACCAGTGTACAGTAACTAACGGCATAGAGACGCAAACTAGCACGGCCAACGTAATCGTCCAATGTGAGTATCATAACCACATTATGTCGTGAAGGTTAAATTGACGGTGTTAATACTATTTATACAATATATCACAAATAAATGCACGTTCTTATACGCCGGGTTCGTAACCGAAAGGTTGCGAGTTCAAGTCACAGCACGGCACTGTGTTGTATCTTTTAGCAAGATGCTTTGCTCAGCTTGTTCCAGTTTACTCAGCTGTAAATGAGTACGTGGTTGGGCAGTGCTAGAATTATTGAATGCTAGCTGTGAGCGCCAAAATAGCAGCACCAGCTGTATGCTTCCCAGGGAGTTGAGGAAGTTATTGGCTGCTTGCAAGGCCCTATAACCACGGATAATAATTTGTGAATCGCTTTGAGACAACCTACGAACTAGGTTGTGATAAAGCGGTATATAAGAACCTCGAATTATTATCATTATTATTATTATTTGAAATATTTATTGGCAGATAAGCAATTCAACAACATTCTATCATTTTCCTACCGAATGTATTTAAATATTTAGACATTAGGAAATTGTCCGAGGTTAACCGAATATGTTGTACGATATTGCTATTATTCATATTGCGTTATGTCGACTTGAAATAATCCTGGTGTTCCCTCAGCAAAGCCAGGCATACTGACTGGTCCCCTTTCTCAAACCGTGTTGGCGGGGCAGACGATCGTACTCCGTTGTGACGTCATTGCCACGCCTCCCGCCAGTGTTGTTTGGACCTACCCTCATGTGAGTATCGTTTACTTTATCACAGTGTTAGATTTGTATGTTTACGTCTCTGATTGAGCCGGTCGTTAGAAATTCCATTCGTATGTATTTAAGACAGGGACTTTACGATTTGTATTTTAATGAGACGGAGGCTGTCACCCGAGATTCCAATATTCACGTGTCTCAATTTATAGCTGAAATTGCACCTAAAGGTATTTCTCACCATTTCCTTCCGTTTGGTAAGGATAAGTTGTATATTGGTTCATATATCAGAACTAGTGAATTGACGTTACGGTAACTAATACGATGTATGTTCTCCGTCATTTCATCTGACAAATGACCAGTGAAGCATATGCGTACTTAAGTGTAAAAAAATGTACGAGTTGACAATACAAAGTGCCGTCGATTCGGCTTCGCTATTAACTCATGTAAACTTAGTTGTTATAATGTACGAAATGACAGTCAAATCAACAAGTCGATTCGGCTTCGCTTTTTAATACCCAATTTATTGATGCCGACACGTACATATCGCTGGTTGTGTTATATAGACCTATATGCAATGTCTTAGTAGTAACAGGTCAAATCGTAAGTATTTCATTATGGATGGGGAAACGCCCATCATATGGCATGAACTTTGACAGTGATGGCCCCTTACCGTACTTGTTTGTTTGTAGACGGGAACAGCCCCTCCAAAGGACGTGCTTGTAAACCCGGACGGTTCCATCACCATCCAGAACATCAATGATTTTAACCAGGGCACGTACACCTGCTCGGCCACGAACGGCCTCGGTACCACCACAGCCACCGGACAGGTCAACGTCATATGTACGTAATCAGGTCAAAGGTCACAAAGTATGTTTCAACAGTCACGTGGGCTTTACTCTAGTCATCATGAGATTAATGATATGTTACCATCAATATATTTCCAAGAACAAGTTTTTTCATTGGGGAAAAAGTCAAGGATATCAAACGTTATGCACGTGCATAATGACTAAGTCGGTCATGGAGAACTTGGTGTCTACGCTATATATGATTTCTTTGTTCCCGGAAAGTACTTTTTTGCAAATAGTAAAGCTTTCGCAAAATTTACAAATGAAACTTTTCGTAAAAATGATCAAGTATACTATAAATCATATTGCACTTTGTTTTTAATCCGGTACTAGACTCTACGACTGTTTATTGTTTATAAAGTTGTTTATGTATAGTTTCCTGTATAGTTGTGTCGGCAGACACAAAGTTAATAACCCGAATCTTGTCTACAATCATATTTACATTGCCTGCATGGAAAAGCACAAAGTTGCTTGATTAACACCTACCCCGATCTTTACATAGAATATAACCTTCAGGCTAACTACTTACATTTTGTAGTTGTACGATCAGACGAACGGTTTCGATTTTACAATCATTAAGTTTCCATTTCTTGATGTTTACGTCCCTTACATCGACTGCTGACGGAAAAACTTGCGACAAAAGGTTTCCAAAGATAAAGGTTGAAGGACAAGTGTTATGACCGCAAGCATGATCTCATTGGGAAAATATCCTTTTTATTTGTGTTTTATGATGGATGATATTTGTGATATTATGTTCATTCATGAAACCTGTCGATTTGTTGTCATTACCCCGTTGTTTAGTTTTTAGGACGTGGTTAGTGTGGTCGATGAATGAAAGCACGCTTATCATTGAGGAACACCTGGCCATATTCTTCTTTGTTTTGTCTTAGTTTCCCAGATATTGAGTTTGAATTATGGTTATATTTACACTTCGATGTTTTCTTGTTTTTTCGTAGCTCCAGTAACGGTTAGCGTCACTCCAAGTAAACTTCCGGTGCACGCAGGTGATACATTTACTCAAATAGCTTGCTCCGGAACAGGCGATCCGAATCCGACATTGACATGGACAGCCGATAATGGTCAACCGGTGACATCTAGTGGCGGGAAATTTCTGTTACTGGGCAACGGAGAACTTATTATAACAAATGTAGACCCTGATAGTGACTCGGGGATATATACATGTACTGGGAACAATGGCAAAGAGACAGCCACGGCTCAAACCATCGGTAAGTAGCCATTAATTAGGGACCCCTTTACCACTGCCAAGAGCTGTTACTGTGCAACGGAAACTTGTTTTTGCTAGCATGACTATACAGCTTTGGTAAATCAGTTCTGACAGAAAACCATACGTTGCGGTATTGAAATGGAAATATAATGAAGGTGGAAAAATACCAGTATCTTGAGGCATAAATGAAAAGTACATTGCTGGATTGAACGACACTTTTTTTCAATTTCATGCTGTTTGCGTTCATAAAAATAATGACCTCGATGTATATCTTCGTACCGTCTTCGTTGAAGTTTTCGTGTGTGGAAATGTTCGCGTCGTGATTCGCTAAACTAATCAGTGTGTAGACGTTTTCGCGTAAGCAATGGTTTTGAAATCAAATATTCTATGTATCTGTAATCTATCTAATCTATAAATTTGCGTGTGTATGTTTTCGCATTAATGCCTTTAACGCAAAAAACGCGAGCATTTCCACACCGCGAAAATTTCCTGTTTTTCAGCATTTTTCTCTCTGTCTAGTGTATAACGATCTCGGCACACTCTCATGTACTACGACGTTTGCCGATTGTTCAACAACAACGGGCAGAGCATGCGGGTAAGTTAAGATACACGGACATCAAAAATAAACAATTTTTTTCATCGATAGGTGCTAAATCATTTTTTAGATAACTCACTGTAAAAATCGTTGTGACAAACACACGACAGAGGGCGCTGTCTAGAAAATTTTGACGCTCAAGGTGGCGCTGTATACGGATAGAGCCTATCATCATAAACAATGGAGAAATAGTATTGTTTTCAAAAATTCCAGAAAGGATTATTACGATGAAGGATTGTGAAGTCACAAACATGTGTAGTTTGTCTACACGCTAGGGTATGACAAACGGATTTAATGACTTATCTGGACGGACAGGGATAACGTTTTATCAGTGATTCGATACAGGGTGATTGTAATGTTAATAGCCATAGAAGCAAGCTATTGGTGCTGTTTGTAACGTTCGTTTTGATTGGTCAAATTAAAGTGCAAAATGTCCATTCAAGCAGTGACGTGTTTAATGTACAAATGCACCTACAAGGTCGACATCAGTTTGCGACAGACTTATTTTGATAGACATGACCATTCTGAACCTGACGTCTTTTAAGTTTTAATAATTAATTGCATGTTTAACGTTGACATCTCTGATATGGTATCATGCTTGTTCATTTTGCCATTATTAATAAATACAAAAATTAGTTAGTTTGATATAAACTTTCCCTACGACAGAGGGCGCTGTCCAGGAAATTGTGACACACAAGGTGGCGCTGTATACGGATATAAATTATATACGCCGGTGAGTGACTTATCCGTATCACTAAGGAGAATTGGTTTGTTACACACTAACATAGTCATTGATTTAAATAAATAGAAAATTTACTGAAACTGTGGTTATCAATTCTTTAAGTTCATAATTTTACACTGATTTGAAATCCTGAATCTAAAAAGAAGTTGTTTTTCAATTTTTGTAAAGAAAAAATATTCACTTAGTAGATTTTTGGCTGAAAATTTCTAATATTAAATTTTCGATGAATTAAATGGGTCATTATCATTTTTTGTAGGCAATTAAACTTTTTAAAATTGACACTTTGACAATTTTGATGTGTTCTTATTGTAACCGTGCACTTCAATCGGCTTTTTAGCAATCGGTGGTGTGTTTGTCAGCAAAACATGCCGGAACAGCAGGAAATGACGTCATCTGGCACATCATCAATGGCGGCAGTACATACGAGAGTAAATTAAGCAATGGAATCCAAAGTCAATTGTAAGTAAACAAACTGATCACGTGTACATGTACAGGGGCGTACAGGGGCGGGGCACGGATCCCCACCCAAGGACCACGTGTACATGTACAGGGGCGTACAGGGGCCCCAATGATCGCATATGTACATGTATTTTGTATCCTTGAAATTTAACTCTCTAAAAAAGCAATCTTTACCAATTTTGATTTTGTTTTAAAACTATGTTTATTCCCGCTTCAAGAGCTTTAAGCATAAGAAAAAATGTCTGACAAGGCGTAGTGTTTACTTAGCTAACCTGATGTAATATATATGTTTGTATATATTCAAATTATCGGAGCCTGATTAAGTTACTTGTATAATGATAAAATAATCAACTTTGCGGTTGAAGTACTGACCGGATGTAATTTACATTGTATATAATTTTATATGTATGCCCTCAGTTTTAATATGTTTGCTCTAATCATTCCAGTTCCGGTCCTCTAGCAGAAACTGCGCAGATCTGGGAGGAATCTTCAGCCCCCGCCCATCAAGCCGGCGTACCCATATTAGGATAATGGCTCAGCCCGGCCAGTTGATATGCCCATATAAGGATGGCGGGTCTAGTCATGCTATCTCATCACCTCATCATCGTCCACGTTGTCGTCGCTATCACTGTGAGGACTTCTTCAGATGTATCAAACAGTTGTTATTGTGTTGGATCTTTAAAATCATATATTAACAAGTTTTCTTTGTGTCTTCATTGATTATTTCCTTTTCATGTAATATGATTATCACTGTAGAAATTAGTCAAATCTCTGAGTGTCATTCATTTGATTGATATTTAATAATTAGATTAAGTGAAGTTAAACGTCCCCAGTTGATGGATTCCATTGAGGAATTTACTTAAATCCGACCATTGATCAAAGAGGTGACCATCATAGCGTACTGCCAAGGTGGTAATGCTAATGTTTTAAGCGTTGGGTAAGTTACCGCGAAAATATCCACACGAGATTTTTATTTATACATTATGTAGTTTATAGATATAGAGAACATATAGATTTCTGATCCATTGCCCAAACACAAATTCCATCACACCGTGATCAGTTTATAGGGTCATAACTCAAATATTTCCACTCGCGATAATTGCCCCTTTTACAGTAACTCTAACAGTAACGTTTACATATTTATCTCATTGTTAGGTTTCAATGAAAGCCCGAACATCTTATTGTTAGGTTTCATCGAAATTACGAACATCTCATTGTCAGGTTTCAGTTAAAGTACGAACATCTTATTGTTCGGTTTCACTGAAAGTACGAACATCTTATTGTTAGGTTTCACTGAAAGTACGAACATCTTATTGTTAGGTTTCACTGAAAGTACGAACATTTCATTGTTAGGTTTTACTGAAGGTACGAACATCTCATTCTTAGGTTTCACTGAAAGTACGAACATCTTATTGTTAGGTTTCACTGAAAGTACGAACATATCATTGTTAGGTTTCACTGAAAGTACGAACATCTTATTGTAAGGTTTCACTTAAAATACGAACATCTTATTGTTAGGTTTCATTAAAAGTACGAACATCTTATTGTTAGGTTTCACTGAAAGTACGAACATCTTTTTGTTAGGTTTCACTGAAAGTACGAACATCTTATTGTTTGGTTTCACTGAAGGTACGACATCTCATCATTAGGTTTCATTAAAAGTACGAACATCTTATTGTTAGGTTTCAGTTAAAGTACGAACATCTCATTGTTAGGTTTCAGTTAAAGTACGAACATCTTATTGTAAGGTTTCACTTAAAATACGAACATCTTATTGTTAGGATTCACTGAAAGTACGAACATCTTAGTGTAAGGTTTCACTTAAAATACGAACATCTTATTGTTAGGTTTCACTGAAAGTACGAACATCTTATTGTTTGGTTTCACTGAAATTAGGAACATCTTATTATTAGGTTTCACTGAAAGTACGAACATCTTATTGTTTGGTTTCACTGAAGGTACGAACATCTCATTATTAGGTTTCAGTTAAAATACGAACATCTTATTGTTAGGTTTCACTGAAAGTACGAACATCTTATTGTAATGTTTTATTGAAATTACGAACATTTTATTGTATGGTTTCATTAAAAGTACAAACATCTTATTGTTAGGTTTCATCGAAATTAAGAACATCTCATTGTTAGGTTTCAGTTAAAGTACGAACATCTTATTGTCAGGTTTCACTGAAAGTACTAACGAACATCTTATTGTTTTGTTTCACTGAAAGTACGATCATCTTATTGTTAGGTTGTACTGAAAGTACGAACACCTTCTTGTTAGGTTTCACTGAAATTAGGAACAACTTATTATTAGGTTTCACTGAAATTACGAACATTTTATTGTATGGTTTCATTAAAAGTTCAAACATCTTATTGTTAGGTATCACTGAAAGTACGAACGAACATCTTATTGTTCGGTTTCACTGAAAGTACGAACATCTTATTGTTTTGTTTCACTGAAAGTACGATCATCTTATTGTTAGGTTTCACTGAAAGTACGAACGAACATCTTATTGTTCGGTTTCACTGAAAGTACGAACAACTTATTGTTATGTTTCACTGAAAGTACGAACATCTTATTGTAAGGTTTCACTTAAAATACGAACATCTTATTGTTAGGTTTCATTAAAAGTACGAACATCTTATTGTTAGGTTTCTTTAAAAATAAGAACATCTTATTGTAAGGTTTCAGCTAAAGTACGAATATCTTATTGTTAGGTTTAAGTTAAAGGACGGACATCTTATTGATAAGTTTCACTGAAGATACGAACATCTTATTGTTAGGTTACATTAAACGTACGAACATCTTATTGTCGGGTTTCACTGAAATTACGAACATTTCATTAAAAGTACAACCATCTGATTGTTAGGTTTCACTGAAAGTACGAACATCTTTTTGTTAGGTTTCACTGAAAGTACGAACATCTTATAGTTAGGTTTCAGTTAAAGTACGAACATCTTATCGTTCGGTTTCACTGAAAGTACGAACATCTTATTGTTCGGTTTAACTGAAAGTACGAACATCTTATTGTTTGGTTTCAGTTAAAGTACGAACATCTTATTGTTAGGTTTCATTAAAAGTACGAACATCTTATTGTTAGGTTTCTTTAAAAATAAGAACATCTTATTGTAAGGTTTCAGCTAAAGTACGAATATCTTATTATTAGGTTTAAGTTAAATTACGAACATCTTATTGTTAGGTTTCCCTGAAGGTACGAACATCTCATTAGGTTGTACTTAAAGTACGAACATCTTATTGTTAGGTATCACTGAAAGTACGAACATCTTATTGTTTGGTTTAAGTTAAATAACGAACATCTTATTGTTAGGTTTCCCTGAAGGTACGAACCTCTCATTAGGTTTTACTTAAAGTACGAACATGTTATTGTTAGTTTTCACTGAAAGTACGAACATCTTATTGTTTGGTTTCACTGAAAGTACGATCATCTTATTGTTAGGTTTCACTTAAAGTACGAACATCTTATTGTTAGGTATCACTGAAAGTACGAACATCTTATTGTTTGGTTTAACTGAAAGTACGAACATCTTATTGTTTGGTTTCACTGAAAGTACGATCATCTTATTGCTAGGTTTTACTGAAAGTACGAACATCTTATTGTAAGGTTTCACTTAAAATACGAACATCTTATTGTTAGGTTTCATTAAAAGTACGAACATCTTATTGTTAGGTTTCATTAAAAGTACGAACATCTTATTGTTAGGTTTCACTGAAAGTACGAACATCTTCTTGTTAGGTTTAAGTTAAAGTACGGACATCTTATTGATAAGTTTCACTGAAGATACGAACATCTTATTGTTAGGTTACATTAAACGTACGAACATCTTATTGTTGGGTTTCACTGAAATTACGAACATTTCATTAAAAGTACAAACATCTGATTGTTAGGTTTCACTGAAAGTACGAACATCTGATTGTTAGGTTTCACTGAAAGTACAAACATCTTATTGTTAGGTTTCAGTTAAAGTACGAACATCTTAGGTTTGAGTTGAAGTACGAACATCTCACAATTCCCGTACCTACATAATTGTAATTTTCGTTCCGAGTGAAATATCATGGATAAACATCTGATAGTATTGCCAATCTAGTGACAAATAGCCGTTTAGTTGTAGATTACATGCTTGAGATAACGTTAGATATGCTGATGTATGGAACACGAGAGGTGTTAATACACTAATGGTATGGATCTGTCGCCATTATTAGGATGTAAGTACCGAATGGTACGAACAACATGTTAACATCAGATGCTATCGAGGTGAAAAAGTGTCAGTTAATGACTGCATAAACAGATATTGATTGTTACGTCATTGGTTTGTGTGAGAAAATTACGTCGTTTTCTCAAAAATTGATGACGTTACTCTCACAAACAAATGACGTAACAATCAACTGCAGATCTGATGCTTATCCATGTATGACTGCATAAATTATCTTGCACAGTTTCAACATTGTCATAGTGACTGTCTATCAGCTCACATATCTGAAGGGCGATTTGTCAAATGCGAGTGCGTTACAATTGTGAGTTTTTAGGTCACCTGAGCTCAAACTCGTCAACGTCGTCCGTTAACATTTTATATTTCAACTTCAGCTGAAATACTGTTGAAGGGATTTCATTGATACTTTATGGGAATATTACTGACATCTCCCTGAACAAGTGTTGTTATTTTTCGGGTCGATCAGAAATCCAATATGGCCGTGGCGGCCACCATTTTTAAAAACTAGTTCAAACCTAAAGTCAAGTTCTATTTGTTCGATTTCACTTAGACTTTGCAGGAATGATCGGCTCATAGTCCTGACAAAGCATTTTTTTTTTTGAGTCGATCAGAAATCCAATATGGCCGTCACGGCCGCTATTTTGAAAAACTATTTCAAACTTAAAGTCAAGTTCTACTGAGCCGATTTAACTGAAACCTGGTATGAATGATTCACTCAAGGTCCTGACAAAGTGTTGTTAATTTTCGGGTCGATCAGATTTCCAATATGGCCGCCATTTTGAAAAACTTTTTCAAGCTTAAAGTCAAGTTATTCTGAACGGATTTAACTGAATCTTGGCAGGAATGATCGGCTCATAGTCCCGACAAACTTAAATTAACATTATACTTAACTATTTTTTGCTCAAATATGTAGGGATGATTGACATCCTTATCTCCACTTCATATTTCAACAACAAAAATAAATACTGAAGTACTAAGGTGACCGTGAAGGCCCGTGTGCCTCTTGTTCAAAGTACAATATGAGAGCTAACCGACTATAGTATACACACTGTACGTAACTACTCGTGTAACAAAATACATCTGTCGACCTTCATCTGACTGCGATTCACCTGCTCCACAGCTGTTGTAAATAAATACTCTATAGTCAAATTACGTCACTCGGAACTCCTCGGTCTTTGAATGCATCCCAACTGAGAGCAGAACAGACAAACTCTCTAATCAAAACACCAACAAAATCGACGACAACGACGACAAGGAGTAAGGACGTATCAAAAACCACAACGAGGCTACAACGAGATTAGACAACGAACACCAGTCGATGTTAAAAGTGTGTAAGTTGAGTATTTAAAGTGACAATTTAGTGAAGTAAGCTTTTTTATAACCTTGTCACGAAATTCTTCATGATTCTATAGTTTTATACTCCTTATGAACCATTCAAGTCGAGCAATTGGCAAGAGACAATCT